TAATACTGAGTCGAAGAAGATTGCAACGTAATGAAGACCGGAGGAGAAGGAGGTTACACCGGGAAACCCATGACGTGCGACTCTCGTGTAGAAATATTCCGGGACCTCAGGTCCGGGGATCGTCATGGAGAACTTGGTGGAAGATCTTCAACAACTTCCTCGTATTTAGGAAGGTAACAGAAGAGAAGGATCAGCAGCTCATTTTCCTGCAGGAGGTGGGCAACTCATATTATGAGTTGCTTGAGTCACTCCTGCAGGGCCGTGAGCTGGAGGATGTGGAACTTAAGGAACTGCGACAGGTCATTGAACGCCATTATCAGCCGAAGAAGCGTTTAGCACAGCGTTTTGGCCTTATGTCGGAGGTCCAGAAGCCGGGGTAAGCTTTTCACGAGTATTATGCGGAGCTGCAGAAGGCAGCAAACAGTTGCAGCTTTGAAGAAATCAAAAATCACAGAGATGTGGTGGTGACAATGGTCTTCATTGAAGGGCTGCTCTCAGTGGAAAAAAGGAAGCGTTTGCCGCTAGAGTGAGCCGTAAAGTCTCCCACCAGGTGCACTGATGTGAGGAGCCCGCCGGAAGCTCCGACAGTGGTGAGGAATTGGTAAGTAAGAGCGTGAATATGGTTGTGAAGTCGCGCTTAACCCACTGTTGTGAAGCTGACAAGAACTCATTGTGTCGATCCTGTCCAAGCAGAGCAGTGATGGCCGTTTGCGCCCTCGATGGTGGAGAAAGGGCATGCGGTAGTATACTTATGGTGGAGGCCGCTAGCACAAACGCTCCCAGTGAAAATGGGCAAAACCTGGATGAGAGAATGATAGCTAGGGATACGCCTGTTCGAGGCGAAATAGACCGGTTGGCAGATGAGTCACCGCGAATGTTGGATATGGAAGTGAATGGGAAAAGGATTCCACACGAGTTGGATACCGGCGCATCCTTATCCATTATTGATGAGAAGGCTTGGCACAAGCTAGGCCGGCCGCAGTTGCAGAAGTCTGAGGTAGCGGCGGCGGCACAAGCGAATTATGTTTCAAGACCAAGTCCCACTGCAATAGAAGTTCGCCGGAAAAAAGGCGATGATAAATGTGCATGTTTTCAGGGAGGCGAGTCATTCCTTGTGTGGGAGAGACATGATAAGGAAGTTGCAGATTGACTGTGGACCCACTATGATATGATTCACAGCGTCACATAGATGTCCACAGTAGCAGTTAAAAAGGAGTCGGTGTTTATAATGAATAACAATGAGAGGTTATCCCAGGAGGGTTCGAGCAAGTACACAACTCCACGAGCCAAGCTCAAATTCAAAAATGGGCTATTGTGCCTAAGTTTTTCAGATTCAGACCAGTTCCTATCGCGTTGAGGCCTGAAGTTGAGCTAAGTTGGAAGAAATGGTACGGAATGGTACCATAAAAAGGGTAGAGCATAGTAAGTGGGCCACGCCGCTGGTAGTTGTGCCCAAACCAGGCAGGAAAATAAGAGTTTGTGGCGATTGTAAAGTCACAGTAAACCCGCAGTTAGATATAAGTCAGTGCCCATTGCCTAAGCCAGACGGCTTATTTCACATGTTGCACAGCGGCAAGAAGCTCTCAAAAGCTGACCTCTCAGGTGCGTATATGCAGATAGAGCTGGAGAAATGCTCAAGGGAATACACTACTATCAACACGCATAAGGGATTATTTCAGTATACGCGGATTCCGTTTGGAATCGCGTCCGCACAGAAATATTCCAGCGGATAATGTAAGAAACGCTGGCGGGAATAAAGGGAGTTCTGATTCATCTGGACGATATTACAGTAACGGGACCAGATGACAAGACGCACTTAGAAAGACTTGAAAAAGTCTTGAGCAGGCTTAATGAGGCTGGTTTCCGTTTGGAAAGGGAGATGTGCAAGTTCTTCAAAGAGGAGATGGAGTTCTTAGGCCGAGTTCTTAGGCCATGTAGTCGATGAGAAAGGCAACAAACCATCTCCAAATAAGCTGAAGGCGATATTGATCACGCCATAGCCTAAGAATTTGAAGGAATTAGAGTCTTACTTAGGCATGATTCAATATTACGGCAAATTTATCTCAGACTTGCATCGCTAGCAGCGCCGTTGAATAGTTTGCGATGGGGTGTACCCCGGAAATGGGACGTAGAAGAAAAAATAGCCTTTAGTTGAACACGTGAAAAGCTTCCGACTGCGGATACGTTGGCGCATTATAATCCAGATGTTCCGGTAGTACTAGCTACCGATGCTTCAGAATATGGTATTGGAGCAGTATTATACCATAGATATGATGAAAATTGAAAGTGGGAAAGTAGTTGCGTACGTATCGCATTCCTTGACAAAACAGGAACGCAATTACGCCCAAATCGAGAAGGAGGGAAATGGGAATAGTATATGGAGTTGAAAAATTCAACCAGCTCCTTTATGATCGTCGATCCATACTGCTAACGGACCATCAGCCATTAGTTAGGAGATTCGGTCCTAAACAAGGCCGGTGATAGCGGCCAAGAGGCTGCATAGACGAGCACTGAGGCTCATGCTATATTTGTTTGAAATTTACTATAGAAGGACGTCCGAGTTTGGCAACGCGGACGGGTTATCGAGGTTACCCGATCCGAAAAAGTTGCCTAGTGCTGAAATGGTGATAAATGAACTGTATGTTTAGCAAATGGCAGAAGAAGCAGTGGAACATCTCCCTGTAACAGAGGTCCAGATAGTCAAGGCCACAAAAGAAGACTCCTTACTACAGATGGTGGTTAATTAATATATGCTGAAAAGTTGGCCGGTTAAGGTCAAGAATGATAGGCTGAAGCCATACACTGTGAAGAGGGCAGCCTTATCAATCCACAATGGGTGCACATTGTGGGGATATAGGGTGGTTATCCCTAAGAAGTTTTAGCAAGTAGTGCTGAAAATGTTGCATAATAGCCGCTATGGTAGGAATAGGACGATTAGCTTGGCGAGAACTAAAATATGGTTCCCAGGCATGGATAAAGCGGTAGAGGAGGTAGCAAACAAGTGCAGCACATGCGCAGTGATGAATCCATTGAAGATACCCTTACACCCATGGGAAAAACCGGAGAAAGTGTGGCAAAGCTGCACATAGATTTTGATAAGACAAGCGGGGCAGTAAAATGGCTGGTGGTGGTAGACGCTGAGCCCAAATGGCCAGAAATGATTAAGATGGGAACCACCACAGCCGGGAAATTGATATAAAAGCTGAACGAAGTTTTCAGCAGACATGGGTCGCCCAAACAGTTGGTTTCGGATAATGGTCCCCCCTTCACGTCAGCGGAGTTTCGTGCCTATTGCGGGAAAAGAGGCATTGAACAGATATTCACTGGTATGGCAGTTGAAATCTTGGGAACGAGCACAGATGAGGTCCACCACGGCATGGAGGTGAAAAATACCCATGCTGATCAGATGAGGAAAGGGTTATCCCATGGTAGTTGGCAGTTGAGGACCTCTGAAAGGAACAGCGAGCTCACCGAAGAGCAGCCGCCGCGGCGCTCGAGAGGAAGCGGCAACAAACCGCTAGAATGACTGAGATCCGAGAAAGTCGAAAGCGCAGGAAGATTAGATCGATAAGCCTATCGGAAAGGGAAGATGTAAACAAAAACAGCAGATTTGGCTTGAGGCCTATAAAAGAGGCTGGAAGGGGTAGGCAACTTAGTTATATTCTCGTTGCCGGGATAGCAGCAGCAGCAGCAGCCAGCGGTGGTCATCGGGGGGGGGGGGCGGGCCAGTGGTTTCAAGACGAAGATCAAGAAGCCACAGCCGATCGTCAAGGCGGAGGTCTCGAAGCCCGAATCCGCCCGCGAGGGCTTGAGAAATGAGGCTTGAGATAACCCCAGTGAGGGTGGTGTTTAATGTTTGATTTTAGCAATAAATATGTTTGAGATAATGTCGATATGTTGGTGTACAGAAACACTGATGGGTGAGGATGAAACAAATTAGACGGTTGAACCTCCTCACCCCGAAGAGTAACGCACAGTGCCTTGAGTGACCGTAGGGTCACTAGGGTGAGGTGTAGGGGTGTGAGTGAACGTCTGAGAGTGGAAAATGAAGAGGGGATCAGAGGATAGGCATGATAGAGAGAGAGTGTATGTATATAAGGGTGCTATCCTCCCGAGCGAAGCATTCTATCCTGTGTTTGTGCTGGCATCGCCCATCCGGATCGAATGAATGCAAGTCCTGCGGCTAGTAAGTTGTGTCTCGTACCTATCAGCGTTTGTTAGCACAGTGGCTCCAACCTGCCTTACAATTGCTTGTAATTGTTAAGGATGTTGAAAGAGGGGATGCACTACTTATTAGTGTGAAGAGACAGACATTATGTGATCATCTAGCGACGGGGAACGGTACATTCGTGCGATTCGAGCTGCAAAATGCGAGGCGAAATTCGTGGTGGTTCGAACGACTCTGGCCCCTATAATTGGGGCACAAATTCGAAGTAGAGTAGATTTGTGTGGCCGGCTGATTCTACTATTTTACTCTACCTCAAATTTGGGCTCCAATAATAGGCGCTAAAGTCGTCACAATCGCTACAAATTTCACCGCACGCAGCTCGAATCGAGTAGGAGCTGTCCACGGTTGAGCTGCAGGCAGCGAAGGATGGTGTAGTGGATAGCGATGTGGGATCCGAGTTGGGACGGCTAGGCTGGGTTGGTTTTCGCATCCTCGAGGCGCTGACGTTTTTGCATTTTATGCTGCTACCTCCAGGTTTGCTCCATCTTGCACCAGGGCCAAAGCAAGTGCCTAACTGGTCATGGTCGTGACCAGAACCAGCGATAACCTCTACAAGTTGTATTTTACTGATATTGACTGGAACGAGTTGTACCACCAACAAGGCCCATACCGACGCCGATATCAAGAATGAATGACTCATACTTGTGATCACTGGACTTGACAACCTTCGCAGCCAGCAGCTCAACCCTGGACAGCACACTATAAAACTTCCCCGCACTTTTCAACATGTTTCAACATGTGGCCAACAACATCCCTTTTTTGGCTAACGTCCACGTTATTTTCAGTGAGCAATCTGCTGGCGCGGTGCGGGCAGTCGACGCCATGAATGAAACAAACGACGATTAATGGGTTAAAACGGTATTTTCCCGAAGAAATCATTTTCACTGCTTTTTTGGCATTCAGAAGGCCATTTAGCGGAAATCATAGTTCTGTACTCAGTGCTCATACCCCTACACCATGCAAAACCATTTTCAAGGAGCGTCCAGCGCCCGGCGGCCGATTTTACCTAAGTGTGCAAGCTGTTTTCTCCAAAGGAGTATAGTTCTCACGTGAGTCTTGAGAGAGGAGGAGCGCCAGGGTAAATTGGTTGATTACTGGAAAAAATCGGGATGGGGTGAAAGTCGATCATTCAACTAACTCACCTATCCAGGGATTGTTCCCTCTTGAGACTTAGGTGGAAACTCTGTTTTATTGGTTAGGAAAATTTTCAGGCACCATTATGGGCTATTATGGGCCTGTTACCCTTCAATCTGCACTCTAACGCTAAGTGGTGGAAAAGATCGCTCCACCGCACCCTCATGATTGCATGATTTCATTTTCACCAAGATTTCTATAATCAGAAAAAATGACACATAACTTATTCTTGCCTATGATTGATTCGTATTCCCGAATGACCATTCGGCGCTGCGATGAAAAAAGCCAAAACAAAGTCGAGTGACTTGTTCTATCAAACAATTTGAGTGGTGAAAAATGTAAGAAGAACATGCGATTTTTTGGTTGATTTAATATCCTTGGATGATTTGCAGGTGACTGCGCATGATAAAAATTCAACTGATAAAAAAATTTAGTACGAGTCAGTCAAAGTATGTAGTGCAATAAAAATTCTCCCCGCAGGCCTACCACCTCAAGGTGGTGGAAGGGTGAAACGTGCGGCGGATGGACGTGCTTCACCACTCTTATTTATGTAAAATGTTTTTGAAGTATTTTTCAGTATTTCATCATGTGCTCTGATGCAACATTCCCGTGACTTCCAGTTATGTTCATTCCAGTTAGGCTTTATATTGACCGGCTTGCCGCTTCGCGTTCAAAGCGGTGGTTGGGTAGTACTTGAGGAAATGGAGCGATGGCGGTCCTGTTGCTTGATTCTCCCTTATCCGTCCGTCCAAGGTCGCGGTTTTATTCGTTCTTCACCCGTTTAGTTGCATACAGCAAGTCCGGGTACATTTCAACATTCTTAAAAGGAGAAGGGCCAGGATGACGATCGATACCTTCAATGCACGAAGGCTTCCATCGGAAGCGTGCATCGAAGGCCTGTTGGTGCAAGCTAGTAAGATCAAATACGACTGACCGAGACGAGGGGACACCGCCCATTGCACGCCATTTGCGAAACTGGAGAAGAAGTGTTTGTTGGAACACGCGGGAGTGGAGGCGTCAGCGGTGTAGGTGTCCTCGTCAACATGCCCCCGGCCATGAACATCGATTCAAACAAAAGAACCCCAGCTCTAGAAACCTTCGTTTTTTACGCATCAACATCGGGCTACGACGAAGACTTCGCATAAGTATAGTATGAGAAATTCTTGCTCAGAATACCATTTCTTCAGAAACTAGATTCGTTAAAAGTTGCCCAAACTGGAATAGGGTCTTATGTATAGTGGAAGGAAAAAGACTCGCAAGGTTGGCGATTTGTGGGCAAAACTCCAGTCTCGGACGGGACTCTAACCCGTACTTGTCCTTTCCGGGGACCGTGCCCTTATCCCTCACACTACCGAGACCCCGCTTGCCCTCGCCTTCTTAATGGCTTATATGCCATAGAAGGCATATAAGCCATTAAGAAGGCGAGGGCATTCTGTGCTGATATTGGCCGACCGGCTCAACACGTTGTACGTGTGAGTGCTGATAAGCTATGGCATATAAGCCATTAAGAAGGCGAGGGCAAGCGGG